AAAATTTAACTAAGAATCTAAAATCTACAGCTATTGACTAGTGACTATCGAAACAAGTAATAAGCAATTAAGGTTATCAATAGAAGAAGATAGGGTTTTGACAGAATAAGTGCAAGATAATTATTCGGGATCTAACTCTAGATAATTCACTTCCAATATTCAAATGAGTCTCTTGAATTCACTCTATTATTAGTACAAACGTTCAGTAAAAATGCCTCTTACGATTAAGTCTTAATCTTACGAGATGAACCAATTTAAGCACTATAAAAATATGCAAGAATGCGTAGTAGATCGGTATTTAGAAAAACCTCTTTCCGATATACAATAATCATGTGTGCGTCCTCCGGCTGAGGAACGTCCACATCTAGACACTATCTTTGATGCATTGGTAAGCATAGCTGGGTATAGTCCAACTGTGTCAGATTCATATCCATGGATTGATTCCCTCTAGTTTACTAATGTAAAACTTCTCAACAACTACTATCAATCGTACATGTCACTTGTATGGCTGATGGCCATGATGCTTAGAAATAGAAATGCCACCGGGTAGCTATTCTAAAGGATTACTATTTAAAAATTAGCCAGTGCATCATCAATTTCAATTTTTTGTATAGTTTTACTACTCGTATTTTACCTTTTGGTTTTGCATAATGTATTGAAATCCTTTTCTTTCTCCTTGTGGCGAACAAAGAATTACATATGACAACGAAATTTTACAACTAGAGTGATACATTAAGACTAATGGATATGTGCCCATTATCAGTAAAACTATTGTTGACCTTATCAGCTGAAACAAATGCTTGATCTGATTTATATAGTGCTCCCTTCTCTCTTTATCCATTGAGGTTATCTTTATTTTTTGGTTTACTTAGAATGAAACAAAATAAACAAAAGAGATATTGGTTTAAACTTACTCCAACACACAGACGATTTTCGTTGTCATCCTTAAGGTTCCCTATTTTCCTAATTGTCTTAGTTATTTTTCCTTTTTTTTGCAATTCCATTTTCTATTTTTTATTTTATTTTTTACCTATTGGTAATCTATATGAATTATTATCAACTATAATTAAATTCTAGTTGGAACTCCGTGTAAATAATATGATGGCTATGATTTCAAAATCTTGACCATGAAAATTGTTTGAAAACATTAGTAAGGCATAAGGAAATACAAATTAGTAGAGTATTCTCTTTTGTAGTACATTAGAAGAAATGCAAGATAAAATGCTACTCCTCTTGTTGGATAATACTGGGTATGTTGTTGTTGTTGTCCTCTTCGATTTCATTTTCCGTATTTCCAAATTTGCGAGGGTCTATTGAAAACATCATCTCTATCCTCACAAGATAGGGATAAGGTCTGCATACACACTACCTCCCCGTATTGTTGTCCTCTTCGGTTTCATTTCCCCTATTCCCAAATTAAAAGACAATTCCATCTCTTATATTTTAGTTTTGGTTGTCCCAGAATTGTATTCACTTCTTTTAAGCAGATAGTTTTTCCTACACTATTGGATAAATTTTAAAATATTTATAGTTAAAGAAGTATCAACAGACCAACTTTTCCATCAAATAAAGATGCAAACATTGTCAAATAATTAAATTAATCTCGCTCCACTTTTGAGCTCACTCCTAGAGCCTGTTTGGATGAGTAGTTTTTAACTTGTTTGACAATCAAAAAGTAGGCTTAAAAAAGTTAAAATCTGCTTTAAAAAAAGTCAAAATCAATAAGTTGGAAAACCTAACTTTTTCTAAATTGGCTTAAAAGGCATATTGCTTTGACCAAGAATATTACATTCTGATCCCTTATAATTTTTCTTAATCCCGAAATTACCCCTAAGTAAAAACCCTACAACATACTATTTTTTTTCTCCATTCTCCAATATTTGTCAATTTCTTGAAGTTCTTAACGTGAAGCAAACAATAGTTTTTTTAAATAATGTTTGATACATTCCAATATTTTTTGTAAATATTGTTCTTTTGGCTTCTTTTTTTGGTTCCATAACGTTTAATTTTTTTGGTCGTTGAATCCTTTCTTTTTTTTTAATTGGTGTAACTACAACAACAACAACGACCCAGTAAAATTCCACTAATGGGGTCTGGGGAGGGTAGTGTGTATGCAGACCTTACCCCTACCCCGAAGGAGTAGAGAGGCTGTTTTCGAAAGACCCTCGGCTCAAAAAAATAAAAAGACAAAATGACAAAAAGGAGACAATATTAGTATCACAACAACAATCATAGGATAAATAGGATAAATAAGAACACCATGAAATACAGAAGAAAGATGCAAAGCAAAGGGAGACAATATTAGTAAATATTAGTATCACCACAACAATCATAAGAAAAATAGGAACACCATGAAATCTAGAAGAAAGATGCAAAGCAAAAGCGATAGCTAGTAAATAGGACATGCACTGAAAAACGAAATAGTAAGCCACAACATTGCTACTAGCTATCTTAGACAAAAACCCTACATGGCTAGTCTCACAATTGGTGTAACTATATTCTAAAATCAAATCATTCAATGAATTTACATGTTACCCCTGAATTTGAAGCTATGAACGAAAAATATAATATTATAGTCATTATCTTCTTTATAATGTTAACAACTTTAAGGATATTTCAGTCATTTTAACAAGAAAAAGTGCTTACCAGCACTTGTTTAACCAAACACTTCATCAGCTTGTTTTAAGTTTCTGCACTTTTATCCAAACACGTAACTGCTTATTTATAAAACAAGTTCCAGCACTTATAAAGTGCTTTTAAGCACTTAACTTAAAAGCCATTTTTTTAAGCCAATCCAAACGGACCCTAGTTAAATATAATAAAACTTATAACTCTGACTTCAATACTCCTATACTTATGAGTTGAAACTTGAACTAAGTAATTATTTTTCTACTGGTTTGTAAGGTAGTCAAACATAGTAGAATCAGCAATTTATCGTGTATGAAATGGACTAATTTTCATATGAAATGGATGAGGAAATATGTTCTTTAATTTTTCTTTTACATATCTCTATAAAATTTACACTAGTGTAAAACCACAACTCGTGAGGTGTAAAGACGAGAAGGGCAAGAATATATAGACCTATAGGCTATAACACTACTAGTCAAGTCAAAATTGATTCCCAAATCTTAAGACTTCATTTATTTGCAGGAAAAAGGTCTGGTCTTCTTCTTCTTACTTGCCCAAGAGAATACATACTTTTCAGTTTGACTATTTGTTTTTCTCGTTTCACATTGCACTTTAATTTTAAAGGTATCACCTTGATCTATTAAAGATGCATGGACCATAGATTTTGTTACAATCAAAAAGTATAATCAGAGGTGGAAACATAATTTGAACTTTATGGAGTCGAAATTCTAGAATAACAATATTAGGTTTTAGTATCTACATTCTAAATTTAATTTTTTTTTTATATATTTAGTGAATTATTTTTAATACAAATATAAAATTATATTAAAGCTACTAGATTCAGCCGACCTCGTAAGTAACTTCTAGCTCTGCTTCCCAGTGGAATGAGAGTAAGAAAGTTTTACAACTCTAATATGTGATAGAGACTTCTCAATGCATAGGGAGTACAATAGGGAGTACAGGTTAGGCTTTTTGTTAGGTGTGAAGTGTGAACCTTAACTTTCTTTGGATGTCACAACTCAACGTTCACTTGAATGCTCTCAAGTATATACTCCTTATATAAATATTCATGAGTCATGAACATGAACATTTATGTATCATGAGATATAATTATTATATGGGCACCTGATTTTTTTAAACCAAGTTGATGATATTTATTGATTTTTCTCAAGGTAAAGTTTGACGTCAAAATCAGATTACAAGAATTTATGATATGAAAGAACTAGAGGCAAAATAATTTGTTTCCCAAAATTAAATGAATGAAATAATTTTTAGTGTTTTAAACATCTGCAGCTTAGCGCCTACATGCATAATTAGAGTATAATTGACTTCATCCTTTATCTAGTGTTCTCCTAATTGATGATACTATTGTTATTCTTTTCATAGTAATTTCGAAAATTATTCAGAAAAGGACAATATAATTTTACATCAGCTGTTCATTTTGCTTAACCTTCTCATTTACTAGCAGCAAACTAAAAGTTGGATAATTACATAAGATTTTGTCTCTTTGTAGTAAGCCTTGTTTTAGACAGCTGGAGCATGTTGGAAATGTGAAGGAGTTAGCTACATGCGTACCATGGTTAGTTGCATGTACCATAGTTAAAGCCACCCACAAGCAAGATGATTTGCCCGTCACTTGTTTTAATCAAGAGACCGACAAGCATTAGTCCTAACAAGTAATAGGACATCGTGTATTTCCAAAAGAATTCAAGTTTTGTAATGATAATGTATAAAATATTTACACTCAGATTATTTATCATGTAATTGCATTTACATGATAACCATCTGCCATAATAAGTTAAATTATACTAATAGGGTAAAATTTTCTAAAAAAACCTTTAGACTAGTTTTGAAAAATCACTACAAGAAAAGACTCATTTTGTGGGGCGTATTATTAAGTTTTATAGCGGTTTTTGACCCCCACAAAATGAATTGCGGCGATTTCAAAAAACGCCACAGTTATGTTCGCCACAAGTATTTCTGTGACAGTTTTGTAAAGCCTCCATGACGACCGCCATAATATAAATTTTTAAATTTGTGACAGTTTTCAAAGTCAATTAGCGACAGTTTGTAACACCAAAAATATGATCTAAACGTTTTTAAAAAAACAATATGAGAGGTTATAAACCTCCACAATTTAATCTCAATCTTTTAAAAAAAAATAATTAGTGGCAGCTTATTACTGCCACAATAGTTGAAAATTTTAATTTAAGGATTCAATAAATAAACCCAATAACTCATACAACATAAATCCAATTCCATTAAGAATATCTATAGTAACAAACATCAACACATTCAAATTCATATCACACTAAACTTGTACAAATACATATTTGATATTTAAACATTATACAATCTAGAGATATGCCAAGTATTTGCTTGGTGATTTGTATTGCTGCCATCTGATCATATTCTCACATCCACCAAATGAAGTAGACTCACTCTACATATCACATGCTGAAACAATGAAATTTTATCAAAAACTTATAAACGAATAACATTTTGCCAACAAGCTAAAAGGAGGTTCTTGGTATATAAATAAACGAAAGCTCATATTCTCTTACAAATAAATATGTTACTTGGTCTAACAATAACATTGAAATGAAGTTGTTAGATACTCACATAAATAAGAGCTAACGTACAAAGTTATTTCCTTGAATATCATCACAACACTTACGTCCACAAACTATTTTACTTGGTAACATAAATTCTTGTCAAATATTCACGAAAACCACAATGTAACTGATAAAATATAAGTTAATCATTATAGGCTTTCTTGATAACCGTGGTGTCCGGGCCAGCTTGCGCGCACTTCGACTAATTTCACGGGATACTTGCCACCTCCCACTAACAACAGGTACCAGGTAACTCTATCCATCAAGGTTTGGATAGATGGGAAGAAATTACCTAGTATTTGCCTCCACTGGGATTTGAACTTGAGATCTTATGGTTCTCACCCACTTCATTGACCACTAGGCCACACTTTTGGGTGCAATATTATAGACTTTCTAACATTAAAATCAAACAAATAAAGTATAATGTGTAATCTATCCCAATTATTAACAAAAGTTAAATTTGCATCAAAACTGAAGCTAACAACACTAGAAAACTGAAGTAGAAGAATTGAACATAATAGGAACAATCTTATATGAGTAGTTAGTTAAACAAACCAAGCATGTCAAAATTTGTTGGATCCAACTTCAAACAAAAGAAACAACAAATTAAAACGCACAAAACTTTTTCTAAGGCATGAATTCCACTAGTATCTATATCATCAGTAACTACAAGAGAATATACAACAAATTACTCTTAGTTACGTAATATAACCTGGGGGAAAGATGTGAAAAGATTGAAAATTTTAACTTACCGCTCAATGTTATCATAATAGCATATCAATCTGTTAAAACCAAAATATGCATAGATTAGTATCCAATCAAGTTGGCTTTATCAAAGTCTTTTGTCCCTTGAATCACTTCATAGTAAGAGATCCTCTTACGGAGAACACATATGAATACAAGAAATAAAAAATCAGGAGAATCAAATATGAATACCATTTTTGAACTTTCCTTTAAAACAAATACGAATATCATCTCTAAACATGCCTATAAACGAAATAAATGAAATAAGCACTACTTAAATATGCAATACTATTACCTTCAAATAAAACACCGTATTAAATCAAAATTTTATTCAAATTTGCATGCATTTGTTGCTAAATAAGTAACAACATTTGCCTTGGTCTGCAGCTAGTTGTATCCTAATTCTTACTATGGCTCATTCTCATAACCTTCATCTTCCACAACTTTTTCTTCTATATCATACAAATCTATTGGATTTAGATTTACAAAAACACTCCATCCTTTATTGAAAACAACCTCTACATAGTACACCATATTTATGCTTGAGATACTTCGATGTAAGGCTCATGTTCTTCACCTTCAATCTCGAGTAATCATATAGAAAGTTATAGTTCATATTCTTTTTTCAAATAAATAAAATATCAGTAGCATACAAATAATTTTCCTGCCTAATGATCTTTGTAGCTAGAGATATTCGAATTTGGAGGCATATATAAAACATGTTCAAAACTTATACGAGTTGTAAATAAGCTAGTTTTTTCGATAAAATGAGTCAACTTACCTGATAGGGGGGTTTGAAATTACACCACCGAATCCAGTACTCTTAGAAACGTGTACATCTGCAATAATAATACGATGCAAGACATTACTAGAGAAAGTTTTCATTTGCAATAATTCATTTTCTAAGGGAAATGGAAAACTAAATTACTAAAGTATGAGCTAGAGAAGGAAAATTTGTCAGACCATAGCAAGTGAAAGAGATGCATACATTAAAGATCATGTACTGTCTTGATATTCCTCAATGTAGAAGTGAGAAAAATATTAGCAAGTCCCCTGACTAAACAATCCGCAATATAAAATGTATTTATGCTCTCCCATATTATATTAATTTGTGGGTCTCTTTAATCAATTTCAACATCACACAACAGAACTAAATTCTAATTGGAACCTGAAAAAGCTTTGCGTTAAATAAAGGAGCACCTTACGACAACACTGAATAATCTGTAGCCAGATGCAAAACATCTACAAAAGAATGGTCTTCCATCGAATGTCAACACTCTTTAAAAAAGAGATAAATTTCAAGCTAGATTGTCCATAAGGGTTTAATTATTGATTCAAGAAATAACTGCAACTGAAAATCCCAAATTCTACTGCTACTGAGATAATAAAAAAAATAAATGAAATTAAGAAGAAAGAAAGAAAAACCACCTTAAGACGAGCAGTGACATTGTGAAGTTGATTCGCCCAACTGGATACTTCACTTCAAAAATTTCCTAGACACAATACAATACCAATAAACCGTATTCCTAGCCTGAAAATAACTTAATGAAAAATAACTTAAATTGAAATAATAAGCAACACAAAAGACATAATCCGTGATTCAAAAATCAAAGCAGGGGACATAAATTGAGAAGAAGAAGAATATTTACAAAAATGGATAGAAAATTGAAAGAGAACGCACCTGAAGGGGAGCAATGCACTAGAGAAGAATGCAGTTTGTTGAAAAGAGAAAACTAGGGCTAGAGGCATAATGGAATTAAAAGAGGAAAATATTCGGGAAATTTTTTGAAAAAGGAGGGAGAACTTACCGCGTTTGCTTTTCGAGCAAAAAAAAAAAAAATTGAAGGCAACAAATAAATTTTTGAGAAAATTAAGTATTTTTTCAACAATAAAATAATATTTTAACATAATAAATTGCTAAAATCCTTAGATGAAATAAATGTAACAACTAGTTATGAATTTATTAATATCATACCAATTGTTTAAATCTTTAATTAATGAAATATGAATATCTTTTGAGATGTCTTTATTAATATCATACCAACTAGTATTATAGTCTTCATAATTGTGAAAAAATCTCATCCACAATAAAATCAATATCTTAATATTGAGTAATGACAAAGAAAGAGGGGGAAAAGCCTTTAAGTTTTTAGTTGTTGGAAATTAAATCAAGATAAATTAGTATTCTTAAATTGTATAGGATTTGGTATTTATTAGTTTATTTAATTCCATCTAATTTGGTTTTATGGTCAAAATCATGTAGGAATAAATTTTCTAAATTCTAGTCAAATTTGGTTAATAGTATTATAAATAGGGGTGTAGCTACATAATTTCTAAGGTGGAAAGGTAGCTTGAGATCCAGAACCACAACAACGCATGTATTAAAGATGCAATAAATTTTGTGCCAGTATTCGAGATTGTATGTTTCAAGGAGCACGACGAAATATTTATTTATGGAATTACTATAAACCTATAGGATGGCTAGTTGGAATTGAATGAGTGTACAAGACCAACCACGAGGTAACTGGAGAAGTAGATGATTTCAAAGTAAAGGAAAAATATGTTAATGATATTTTGAAGAGATTTATCATAGGTAAAGCCAAATCAATTATGATCAATTTTGAAGAGAAGGTGAAATTGACTAAAGGTTGCACTCGTGCTTTTATTGATGCAACATATTTTAGAAAATTGATGAAGAGCCTAAAGTATTTTACTTCTACAAGGTTGTATGTTACTCATGGCATGCTCGAGCTTAAAGATCTTGATTTAAGGGAGATTGTTAGAAATTAAACCAAGATTAATTAGTATTCCTAAGTTGTCTGAGATTTGATATTTGCTAGTTTATTTAATTCTGTCTAATTACGATTCACAGTCGAAATTATGTAGGAATAAGTTTTCTAAATTCTAGTCAAGTTTGGTTTGTAGTATTATAAATAGAAGTGTAGCCACATAATCTTAAGGTGGAGAGTTAGCTTCGACGTGGAAAGATTCATGAGTTTATAAGTAAAATAAAAAAGTCTCCTACCCCGTTTTCTCTTTAGTTTGATAAAAAATTTTAATATAGCCTTTGTTGAATTTTTCGCTTGTGCCTAAATTATTCGTTGGAGTATTTCAACCCTTCATTAGCTAAAGATAAAAATACAAAAAAAAAAAAATGTGTGAAGACAATAAAAGAAAAACTAACAACTAATATATGGAGATAATGAAAAACCTCTGTCTTTGTGTCTGCTTCTTGTAGGGGTAGAATTTGAGGGAAAAAATACAAGAAATGACAAAGATTAAAATATTGGCATAAATTGCATCAATTTGTAGAAATTTAACTAAAATGTGCAATTTGATTAAATTTAAAAACAAATGGTAGAAAAAATGACTAAAAATTGCATGAGTTAGTGACCGCCCAATTTTTATCAAATGACAATGATTTTGCAGACCACTAAATTTGATTTATTTCCGAAGGTTATCATAAACTTCTGCAATAAAACTGTCACAATACCAAATGATTTTGTGAAAGTTAGAACAAACGCCACAAATTGAATATATAGTGGAAGTTTTTTACAATTCCCACAATAAATCACCACAAAAAGAATTATTTTGTAGTGGTTGATACAAACGCAACAAAACAAATGTATAGTGGAGTTTTTTTATAACTCTCAAAAATTAACCGCCACAATTTAGCAATTTTTTTTTGTAGTGACGTTTTGCTCTTTCTTTGCTAGATTGCTCGCTGGAAAGCGTATGTCTATATCGTTAATCTTTTCTTTGGAAAATAAGAACCATTTTTCGTTTTCTCAAAGTTTAGTTTCATGATATAACAGTGTTGCTTTTATTCTTAAGTTCACGATTTTCTGGATAGAAAAATCAAAGACTTCAATTACGAAGTTGCATTGTGTCCATATATATATATATATAATATTTTATAAATAATTATTAGAATTATATTATAACTTAATAGAAAGCGCATCCATTTTTATATCCTTAATTCGCCCGTATAAGAAGAAGAATTGCTCCATTAGATTAACCGACCGTTAATTGAGCCAAAGTCAATGAGGATGTATCACCTATGCATTTTCCAAGAAATTACTGATGATTGGCCACTCCTCTCACTTTTAAGCTTAATTAATGTTTTATAGGAATTCCAATTATTTTGCTTAGAAGGACTTCAAGTTTTTAAATATATTCGAATCCTTCCCTTTTATGACTTTATAATCTCTCACAAATTCTTACTTACCTATTATCTTCTCTTCCTTTAAGAACACCACCTCACTTTCCTTCTCATTATCCCCCCAACACTTTCCTTCCTTCCTTTTCTCTTTCTTTTTCTCTTAATATATACTAATCGTGTGAAGAAATTTTACACTGCAGTATATATAACATAAAATCTTCTTCTATTCTTAAACTATTTTGACGATCACATAATAATATAATCATGACTACTTCTCCAAAGAACCAAAAAAATCAGAGGGCTACACTTCCACCAAGAAGGGGCCAAATCAAAGCTAAAGTTTTTGTGAATTTGAGCAAAACTATATCTTTTATTGCTTCCAAAACTTGTGAAATGTTGGAACTCTGCCTCTACAAGTTTACCTCCAGAACTTCATGTATTTCTGAGGGTTACTCTGATTATAATTGAACTTGAATGCAGCTTTTAGTGAATAAACTAAATGGATCCTTTGAAGGGATTTGGCTTGGTCACATGTGGCATTCTTTGTTATATACATATATAAAGTAAAGATAAGTATATGTTGGATAAGTTGGTTATGATAGTAACCATTCTTAGTTTTAAATAGGAGATGATACTATAAAAAAGAAAAGGTCAATGGTTTTAAGTTGTCCTCTGCTGCTTTAATTTGCGTAATTCGTCGAGAATAATGATTGTAATATAGTGGCAAAAGACTATAGGTTTATTTTGATATTTTTTATTGGGACTGCTAGATCTTTTGCTGCACTGTAATACGGGGTTGTTTTCAGATTATATTATTAAAGTCATGTACGAGCGGTTCCATAATTTAAATTTAGCCATAGTGACTGAAATCGTTATACTGTTAAAATTTATGGGTTCATATTTAATATTTGTTGAGATTTTAGTAATTTTTTTCATATATATATTGTGTCGAAAGTTATGAATTCAGTTAAATCCGTAATAATAAAGTTTACACCCGCCCTCGGTATATGTGTGTAATTTAATGAGTATTTCAGCACCTATTGTCTTTCAGTGCTTTTTCAAGTTATCTCTGACTGCAGCTAGACATGAAACTGAACTTATAAAACAAAATATAGGCCCTGCTACGATAAATGTAGCTAGGATAACTTGAACAAATCTTATTTGTGTTTTGACGTACAAATCAATTGAAGCAGTCCTTTTTAATAGACTCAAATATTGCATTAAGAAACATTAAAAGAAACAATATCAATGAGGAAAACACCAACATCTAGTTGATGGTAAACATGAAAGCAAAAGCAGCTGAATTCCAACCTTATCACGAGAAATTCGCAAGATTAATTTGTCATAANTGTAAATATTAACCATACACATGTACACATATATCTTGTCCAACTCTAATTAATTTATATTTTATGGATATGTTTGTCTGTGTTGTGTTACTTAGTGGACAACTAAGCTTCAAGACTATGCATTTGTATTTTTCGCAAATTGTTAAATTCACTTTTCCGCTCTATTCTATTGGATATTATATTTAAAGAACTCAAAGAACAGATCCTTTAATTTATGGATTATTATCATGATTGCGGTTTCAACATCCTTATTTTACATTTATGTTTCATCCGATCCACATAAAAATAATATTTTTGGCATATGATCCATATGTTTTACCTATCTACGAATTTCCTTTTATATCATTTGATATATTGTTCAGAACTTAATACTTTGGAAATACTGCTACGTACATTTTCAAACTTACCACCTTAATTATATGTAAATAACTCATCTTGTTTCACTTATGTTACGGTCTTTGTATAAAATTTACTTTATTACCAAGCAGTTTAGGAAACATAGACTCTTTAACCTACTTTCAAGAAGGTAATGGATTCCTAAGTAGATTTTGTTTGGATAAGGTTAGGATCACAATAAAATATTGGGGTACTTTTCATTAATTACGATATTTTAACTTAGCTTTTTAGTAAGACCCTTGCTTAGTTGTCAATTGGACTATTCGAAAGGTTATGAAAGTCCCATAAGGAGTGATCTGATTACGACTATATAATTTAATCATATAAAATCTATTGCTTTCAAAATAAACTCTACGAGTATTAGAGATAAGATTTCAAGGAGTAACTACAGTGACCTCCTAAATTCAGAAATTTCGATTATTATACTATACTTCAGTTCTTTTACTGTCTTAGAGCATGAACTTTCCACTTAAAATAAGAGAATATACAATTTCAAAGTGATTGCTAGCTACTCCTCCAAGATTCCTCGTATTTTCTCTATTAGGTCTATGGTCTGTAAACTGCCACGTCACTACATACGGAAAGACGAACGAATTGACTCAAAAATCTACTGAGAGAGAAAAACATACTTCTTTTTTCCTTTGTTTTCTATACACGTTACCTCTCCTTTATCGCCGGCGGGCGGCAAGAGGTTTAAGGCTGACTTTAGGTTTTACTACAAAGTCATGACGTTGTAAATAGTGATGTGGTAATAGTTAAGAGTGTACGAATTAATCCTTCTATATTTATTGGGTAAAAACTTTGAGTTCGAGTCACGAGAATGTAAA